GGGGGATGTCCCTTGACCCAGCTAGTTGGGGCCCTGCTTATGCAAACATATGATACAACTAGTGCCTGAACAGGAAGTGGCCCAGATTTGCAAGCCACCACACAAATTCAGCTTTGCCCCAATAATACAGTCTTCCTTTTGGTTTTGTCTCTTACCAGGAAACAAACATGTCACCCATTCTTGCTTGCCCACTTTCCTCTATTCCTGAAGGCCTCATTGATTCCTGGACCTCTTCTGGCCAAGTTCTTACAGTGTCATGGGGTAGGGACCTCAAGTTTGTACACTGCCCTTCGTATCCTTTGCTGATCTCCAACACAGTGTGATGAGTCTGATCTGAGTCTTATGTATTTGGTGCTAATGCACCCCAAGATACAGCTGGTTCTGCTCAGGTACACTGCTGATCCCTGCTGAAGGTCATGACTGGGGAAACCAGTGATTTCTCTGCTGGCTTGCCTGTTCTGGCCTCTGGTACTGATGATGTATACTATTGGCTTCATCATGTGGCTCATTCAGTGAATTCAGAGCACCTAACCAGGCTACCATTCCATGACTTTTTGAGACAGGGATCCCCTGGCCATATACCCCATATACCCACTGATCCTCACTAGAGGGAAATTCACCCCTTAGCTTCTTATAGGGCTGGAGAGTCCACCCCACCAACCTTGTCTCGGTGGAAAGGTTTGAGACAATGCTTCTCTTCTGACTCAACAGCCCTCTGCCATTCCAACAACTGCCTACAAGCTACCATGTTGGGAAAGGTACTCCTGTAAGTAACCTTAGAAAGGAGGGGGAAAGGGTACTTGGACTGCAGAGAAAATAACATGAGGATTAGAAATAATAAAAGAACTGTCCATTTATTTTCTGTGTGACCCCAGGCAAGATACTTAACCTCTATGTGCCTCAGTGTCCTCATCTTTAACATGGGATTAAAAGAATGGCTATGGGGCACCTTAGGGGCTCAGTTGGTTGAGCGTCCAACTCTTGATTTCAGCCTAGAGTATGATCCCAGGGTTGTGGGATCAAGCATCACATTGGGTTCTGTGCTAAGCATGAAGCCTCCTTAGGATTCTCTCTCTTCCTCTGCCCCTCTCTTCTGCTCACTCTCTCTCTCTCTCTCTCTCATGTAAAAAATTTTAAAATTTTATTAAAAAAAGAAGGGCTATGAAAGTTAGAAACAATGTATGAGAAGATTCTGGGATATTGTAGGTGTTTAACAAGTGGGGCTTATCCTTATTATTAACTATGAACAGTAGATCTATTTTTGACCTCTACTTTATCATTGAAGTATGTGCATTAAATAACATAGCAACAGCATCAACAACAAAAAGCAAAAATAGTAATCTCAGAAAAATTCACAGTAATGCCATTGTGAGAGAACTTAATAAATTAAAAGTCCCAGTAGGAAAATACAGTAGGTGATAGGAGCAGGAACTTTGATTAAAGACAAACAAAATGATCAATAAACATGAAAAGATTTCACTCTCACTAGAAACTACAAATTAATGGAATAATAAAATTGGTTTCATCTGTCCTGTTGGCAAAGGTTTTAAAATTATAATACCCTCATTTGGGCTGGGAGACAGAAAACCAGTAATCAGACCATCTTTTTCCCATTTCATAATCTTTCCTCCTTTGTCAAAGATTAATTGACCATATAATCGTGGGTTTATTTCTGGGCCTTTTATTCTGTTCTATTGATCTATTCATCTATTTTTTGTGCCAGCACCATTCTGTTTTGATTACTACAGCTTTGTACTATGCCTTGAAATCCAGGACAGTGATATCTCCAGTTTTGTTATTTTTCAAGATCGCTTTGGCTGCTTGGAGTCTTCCGTCATTCCATACAAATGTTACAATTATTTGTTTTGGCTGTGTGAAAAATGTTGTTGGTATTCTGATAGGGATTGTGCTACATGTGTAGTTTGCTTCGGGTAGTGTGGACATTTTAACAATACTTGTTCTCCCGATCCATGAGCATGGGATACCTCTCCATTCGTTTGTGTCATGTTCAATTTCTTTCATCCGTGTTTTAACATTTTCAGAGTGCAGGCCTTTCACCTCTTTGATTCAATTTATCCAGAAAGCTGATTTCTAAACCTCCCTCTGCTGCTTGTGGTGCAGCTCTAGGCAACTCACTGGACACTAGATGTGTTGAAGTCATGAGGTCTATAAAGCCCTTAGTGTGATTCTGATTAAAACATCTATATTCATAAACACAGGGTGAAAATATCAGCTAGATCAAAACGGTGCGATCAAAATGCCTTGCACAACCTCCCTGATAACGAAAGGAAAAGAAATTCCTTGGCTCTTGCATGTTTTTCCTATCATAGTAGCAAACTCATCAACGATAAATAAAGACTAGTGTCAGTAAGGGTGTAGAGAAATGGCCAGGTTCATAAACTGTAGCAGGAGTAGAAATTGGTTCCAAGCTTTTTGGCAAGCAGTTTGAAACACTTTTGGAGTGGTATTTCAATGCACACACTGCGGGACAAGTGACTCCTCTTGTGGGGATTGATCCTCCAGAAACAATAACAGGGGCGCCAGAATATGCATCTCCAGTGGCATTCGCTGTAGCATTGCTTGTGTAACCCTAACACATCCTGGGACTCCAGGTAGCCCACTCTCTACATGGAGTCACATTTGAAGAGGTTCAGTCATCAAAAGTAAGCGCCAGTAGAGAGGAATTGCAGTCTTGTGTCTCTCAGAGTGATAAGCTTTTTCATAAGCTGCGGCCACACTTCTCCCTAACGTCCAGGGAGACCAGTCCTCTCCCTGGCCACACCACCAAACGCAAAGCTCTACCTTTCTGTTCCCCTCCTCCTTTCCTCCTGCCTCTCCTGCCCCATCTCTCTACCTGTTCCTGATCCTGAAGCACAAAGCCCGGAGAAGACAGAACTTTGAGTAGGAGGCAAGATAGTGGCAGGGTGAGGGGAGAAGCTAAGCAAAAATGAACTTGAATTTGGTTGCGGAGGGAGTGTTGTTGCTAAGGTTTAGATCAGAGACAGCGCGTTAGTAACTGCAAAAAAAAAAAAAAAATGGAAGCAGTATCAGTGTCCTTCATTAGTGGGAGGTGGCTTTACTATGATGTTGTTATACACAATAGATGCAGGTATTTTAAAAGGAGGGAAATTTTTATGTGCTGATTAGGAAAGAAATCCATGATACATTGATACGTTGAAGAAAAGTAAATTGTGTGTGTGTGCATGCGCGCGCGCGCGTGTGTGTGTGTGTGTGTGTGCTTGTGTGTTTATAGAAAGCACTTGAGAGGAGGGGGGCATTTTTAAGAGGTGGGAGTCTGAATGCTATTTACTATTTTGTTTTTCACAGAGACAATAAAAATTAAAGCGAATAAATGTCAACCTTTCAAGCTGCGGAGTCTCTTTTCCATCAATGGAAAGGAAACTCCTTGACTAGTCTGGAGCGTGACAGTAGTAGCTGGTTGTGTTGCCTCCTGAGCTGGGAAACAACTGAAACCAGCAGTCGTTAGTGGTCTGGCCCCGCGCTCAGCCCTCTCGCTTCTGCTGCTCCCATTCACAGCTCAGATGGCTCCCACTAGCATGATGATGGCCTTGGACGCCTCTGCCAAAATCCTCAAGCAAGTCTTGCAATGACAGCTCACAGAACAGAAGGCGTGAGCTGGAAGGAACTGTGACCATTACTTCTCAGAGCAAACAGTCATGACGGGCCCATTGCATAGTGGACCCTGGCTGGGCAATGAGGACACAACAAAGAGGCAGACACAGTCCCTGCCCTCGGGCATTTAGAGTCTACCAGAGGAGGCTGAGAAGTCCACGGTCATGCCAGGGCCATACGATACACCCTGATGGGGGAAGCACTGGAGCATGTTGTGGGGAGGAGGGGGAGACACATAACCCAGGGGAAGGCTTCTGGAAGGGGGTGATGCCTAACCTAGACCCAAGGTACGGTAAGAGTGAGCTAGCCGAACAGTGACCTTGATGTGATCATGGAAGCTGTGAGGCTGCCAGCAGGCAGTGTGGCTGTAATGCAGGGTGCTTGAGGCAGGAGGGAGGGGAAGGTGAGAGGTGGTGTTTAACAGCAAGAACAACCACATCACAAAGCTGTTCTCCACCAGCCGAGGTAGGAATTTGGTCTGTATCCTGAAGTCTGACAGGAGCCATTTAAGAGTTTTAAGCAGGAGAGGAACATGACTGAGTTTGTTCAGAGAGACCACCCTGGCTAACTTCTGGAGGGTGTGAAGACAGAAGAATCAATCCCCCCTCCAGATGTCCACATCCTGATCCCTGGAACCTCTGATTATGTTACATTACATGACAAAAGGGGTTCTGAAGGTGTGATTAAATTAAGGCTCTTGAGAAGAGGAGACTCTCCTATAACCGCGAGCATCTGTGCAAGTGGAAGAGGGAGGAAGAAGAGAGAAGCAGAGGAGATTTTGTGATGGAAGAATCTCCAGAAAGATACATCATTGCTGGCTTTGGAGACGGAAGAAGGGGGCCACAAGCCAAGGGATGTGGGAAGCCTTTATTTTTTTTATTATTTTTTTTTTTAATTTTTTTTTTCAACGTTTATTTATTTTTGGGACAGAGAGAGACAGAGCATGAACGGGGGAGGGGCAGAGAGAGAGGGAGACACAGAGTCGGAAACAGGCTCCAGGCTCCGAGCCATCAGCCCAGAGCCCGACGCGGGGCTCGAACTCACGGACCGCGAGATCGTGACCTGGCTGAAGTCGGATGCTCAACCGACTGCGCCACCCAGGCGCCCCGTGGGAAGCCTTTAGAAGGGAGAAGAAGAGGGGCTCCTGGGTAGCTCCGTCAGTTAAGCTTCTGATTTCAGCTCGGGTCATGACACCATTCACGGGTTCGAGCCCCACATTGGGCTCTGTGTTGACAGCCAAGAGCCTGGAGCCTGCTTTGGATTCTGTGTCTCCCTCTCTCTCTCTCTCTCTCTCTTTGCTCCTCCCCCACTTGTGCACTGTCTCTCAAAAATAAATAAATGTTAAAAAAAGAAAAGAAGGTAGAAAAAGAAAGCAAATAGACTCCCGCAGTCTTCAGAAAGGAAAGCAGAGCTGCTCACATTTTTATTTCATCCCAGTGTCCAACTACTGACCTGTAGAACTCTTAGACACCACATCTGTATTGCGTTAAGCCTCTCAGTCCGTGGTTATTTGTTACAGCAGCCGTAGAAAACAAATACAGATTTTGGTGGTGCTGGACCAAGCATCTCAACACGTGGAAGAGGCAGTGGAACTGGACAGTAGGGAGAGGACGGTAGGGAGGAGGGACAGTAGGGAGCATCATAGAAAAAGCTTAGATGACCTTGAACAGACTCGGTGGCAACAAGGGAGCTAACGACGACTCTGCCGCTGAGGACTCAGAAGTGAGGGGCGCGGAGGAGAAAACATAAACCAACTTTGAGCAGGCCCACGTCATCGTGCACAGACTTGGTAGAAATATGGCTGTTACAGGTGCTGCCCATAAGAGCTAAGAAGGAAATGAGGAACGCCTTACTGGAAACTCGTTCCTCGGTGGCAAGAGGCCTCGAATCACACGCCCTGCAGTCGTGTGGAAAGCAGAACTTACAAACGATGAACTTGGATGTTTCGCCGAGATTTCCAAGCAAAGCGTTGAAAGGTGTGGCCTCGCGGCTTCTTGCCACTTGCCGTAACCAACCGGGAGGGGACACAGACACACGGAGGAAAGAACTATCAAACAAAAACAAACCGGGGCTTGATGACCTGGGGGAATTCTCAGCTTATCTAGATTGCAAATGATATTAAAATGGAGAGATTCACTGTCAGGGAAAGTGCACTTGAGAAAAAGCCGATGGTGCGCCTGGACAACCTTTTGTTAACATCCCTGAAAGATCCAAAGGTCCAAGTATTTGGTCACGTGAAGGGATTTTTGAAGAGAGTGTGTGACTCATAGATCACATCAGCTGTCTCAACGAAGCCAAAACCAGAAATGGAATTATCCAGGGAACATCTGTGAAGGAGCCTCTGGTGTAATGGAGTGAATCTCTGAGACATACATGAGAGGCCCACAAGGTTCTTGAGTCTTATATGTCAGGAGAAACAGTGGAACCTGGACTGGAAGGGACAGAGAGGGTCAGAAATGAAAGTAGGCTACAAGCAGGAAGCAGGCTGATACAATGGCCCAGCTGGGAACAGGTGCTGTCTCTCATGAAAAAGAACAAACAACTCAGAGGGCTAAGCCTTGAGCTACGGAGGATTATCCTTAGGCCTTGAAGCCTAATAAAGCTTGTCCAACTTAATTTTGAAATTACCTGGGACCTGTGACTCCTTTATTTCTTCCATCTTCTCTCTGTTTGCACAGGAATGCCTTTAACTGTTAGCATATGCCAGTCCTGGCATTCTATTCTGGGAGCAGAGAACTTGTTTTCTAGATTTCCGGGACCACAGATGGGGAGGAGCTCCACCCCAGGAGAGATGACACGGAGTCTCATCTGATACCTAATAGAGACGATATTGATGATGAGATTTAGATTTTGGACTTTGAATTGATACTTCAATGGGCTGAGACTTTGGGGCACTTTGGGGAATCGTTTGGAACGAGGTAAATGTATTTTGCATGTAGGACAGACATGAATATTTTGGGATCAGAGAGAGGACTATGGTGGGCAGAATAAGAGCCCTCCAAAGATATCCATGTCTTAATCCCCAGAATCCGTGAATCTGTTATACTATATGGCAAGAGGGTCTTTGCAGATATAATAAAGGATCTTGCAATAGAGATTATCCGAGATTATCTGAGTGGGTTCGATGCAACCACAAGGGTCCTTAAAAATGGAAGAGGAAAACGGAAGAAAGAAGAAAGAACCCTTCCATCTGACTATGGAAGAACAGTCCAGACGTCCGAGAGGTGTGATGTTTCTGCCTTTGAAGACGGAGGGAGGGTGTCCAAAATCAAGGAATGTGGGAAGCCTCTAGAAGGTAGAAAATGTTAGGAAATGGACTTTCCCCTACAGCCTCCAGAAGGGAACACTAGGAGCCAAGATGGGTAAAACTGAGGCAAAGAGTCCAATTCAGAGGCGGTTGTAATAATCCAAGCAAAAGAGGATGGTGTCCAGGGTGAGGCAGTTGCACTAGGAATAGAGAGAGGTGGAAGGACTAGATAAACATATATGAGGTATAGCAGCTGGAACGTGGTGATAAAACTGGGGGAGGGGTGAGGGGAGAGTCAAGGCTGACACTCATATCTTTGGCTTAAGCAATAGGGCAGAGGGTGAAACTCTTGGCTGACTGCATAAGCCACACAGGAAGAGAGCAGGTTTGGGGGGGTCTGCAGATACTTTCATTTTGGACTTATCAACTGCCTGTGGAACATCCAAGAGGCAGTTGGATAAGCAGGTCTGAGGCTCTGTGGAAAACATTCAGGTGATAGTTAAAGTCAGAGGAGGGGGTAAGATGGTCCAGGAAGAACACGGGGAGTGAGAAGAGAAGGACAGGACAGAACCCTGTGGAGTGGTAAGTAAAGGCGTGCAGAGAAAAGAAACCCACAAGAAGCCTCAGAAGGAACTGCTAGAGAGGTAGGAGGGAAACCAGGAGAAAACAGCTCAATGAAAGCCAGCACCATAGTTGCAATGTTATCAGTGTTGCACCAGCGCTGGGAAAGAATCAGCTGGAAGAAATAGGGGGTCAGATGAAAGCAGGAGCAGGACTGGGCAGCTCAGAGGAGAAGGAAGTGCAGTGGTTGGCATTTTCTGCCCAGGCATTTGAGGGCAGCCAGAGTCCAGGTAAGCAAACCTGCTTGGGACTGGAGCTCAGCCTGGAATAGGCAGCTGGTTCTCTTCCAGGAAGGGGTTCTAGCAGAGAAGGGGATCATGTCGCCTCTTCTGTGTTCCGAGAAACTAGCCCTGTGCCCTGCCTTTGCTGACAAAGTTCCTTCTGCCTAAAATAAATATCCAAAGCTTGCTTAGCACTGTGATAAGCACTTCCTGGACACCAAGAGGCACTGGTGTTTTCCCCATGTTACAAATGAAGGAACCAAAGCTCTAAGAGGTGAAGTGACTTGCCCGTCATCACACAACTAATATGCAGTAGAGTCTGGACCCAAGTCTAGCTGAATACAGGCTCTAAGCTCAAACTCCCCCCAAAGCCATGATCTCTCTCTCATTGGGTTCCCACCATCTTTTATCTTCTTCTCTCCGCATTTCATCTCCAGAAGGATTTTCCTCCCCGAGAAAAGGGCTTTTAATCAACTTGTCAAGTTGTAGGCATTCTGCGCTGCGGCAGGGAACCACTAGGTGGCGCCAAAGCCCCAGACAGCCTCATTTCCTGCTGACCAGGAGTGGGACTCCCTGAAGAACAGAACAGATGGGTGAGGGCGGGGGGGAGGGGGGAGGGGGGGACAAGGGAGGCTGGACTTTTCTTCCTACCTTCCACGCCCACCCCTCCTCCCCATCAGAGCTGAGGAGAAAAGAGCAGGAGATTGGAAGGTTAGAGATTAGAGGTTTGAGGATTGTAAGCTGCAGTGCCCCAGACCTCCAGTCAAACAAAAGATTCTAAGTCTCTAAGAAGGGCAAAGACCAGCAAAATAAAAGCTCGTGGCAAGCTGGTGGCTGAGAGGCTGGATTTCAGCCCCAATCTCCTCGCTATCATCCTTGTTTGTGCAGAATCCCAGCTGCACAACCATATGCTGTGATCTTTGTGGAAAAGGGAGGAAATGCACGTTATTGGTACTTACCATGAGCCGGAAACGGTGGGAATACAGCTGCGTGCCCTTGGGAAAACCACTTACTCCTCTAAGCCTCAGTCTTTACCGAGGCTTACATAAAATGGGGATAATCACAGGACCTACTTCACTGAGAGGTTGCGAGGACTTAACCACAAAATGCACAGAACAGACCAGTTCAGTGTCTGTCATATAGCCAGTGCTCAAGAAGTATGATTAGAAGTAAATGATAATTATAATAATATAAATATGTAAATGATAAATTTTAATATTAATATTTCGTAGTCCCTAGGGGCACCTGGCTGGCTCAGTTAGTGGAGCGTGTGACTCTTAATCTCTGTTCAGGCCATGAACTCACGCTCAGGTCATGATCTCACAGTTCCATGGGATTGAGCCCCGCGGGCTGTGCACTAATAGCATGGAGGCCGCTTGGGATTCTCTCTCTCTCATTCTCTCTCTCTGCCCCTCCCCTACACGCTCCCTCTCTCTCTCTCAAAATGAGCAAATAAATATTTTTCTAAATAAAATAAAATCTTTATTTTTAAATTTTTTTTTCAACGTTTATTTATTTTTGGGACAGAGAGAGACAGAGCATGAACGGGCGAGGGGCAGAGAGAGAGGGAGACACAGAATCGGAAACAGGCTCCAGGCTCTGAGCCATCAGCCCAGAGCCCGACGCGGGGCTCGAACTCCCGGACCGCGAGATCGTGACCTGGCTGAAGTCGGACGCTTAACCGACTGCGCCACCCAGGCGCCCCTAAAATAAAATCTTTACAATAATTAGTAATTCCTAGCTACCCTTTCTCTGATGATGTCAATTATTTAATTCTTTCCTCACACTACAGGCCTGATACATAGCCGGTCCTGGGGAAATATTAGTGGGATAAAACATTATAAAAATGAATTTCAGCCATGTTCTGTGGGTTGATCCAGCTTATAGAGTCTGGAAAGACCTTCTGGAGGTGGAGTCTTTAAGGACCAAATAAGGATAACCACACCCTCTTGGGTTACAGTGCCTGGGGACAGAGAAAATGCTCACTAAATACTTCAGAAAGAAGAGAGGGAATGAGGAAGGAAGGAAGGAAGGAAGGAAGGAAGGAAGGAAGGAAGGAAGGAAGGAAGGAAAGAAAAGTTGAAGGAGGTGTTTTAGTTGAGCTAAGGATCTCTGAGAAGGGACCGCAAACAGGATCCCCAGCAAAACGCTTAGTAGAGAGTTGATAGCAATATGTGCTGGGTCCCCACAGTCCCCCAAATTTCCCCTAATACAGCCCTCAGCACACGTCTTTCCTATTTGAGCCCCTATCCCCCCAGTGTGAGCTCTGTGAAGACAGGAACTCTGTCTGTAGTATTCAGAGGTACACAGCAGATGTTCACTAAACAGTCGTTCCATTGCTACATTGGGTTGAGTTCCAGTTCTGGGAATGGTGCAGCAAATTGCCAAAATAAGTCACAAAATTGAATTATGGCACGGTAAAGTAACCAAAAGCAGGCACAAACTGGAGGAGGATTCAGCATTTCAATGAAGAGAACCACACGAGACATGGTCCACATTTATATGGATTTTCTGCCAAGGGGACCCCTTAGTCTCCATAGCAAAGATAAGCTAAAATTCAAGTAAAAATCCAGAATCCTCTGGGTTTGGTGAATCAGAAGACGGAGCTCAGGGCTGCCTCTGGCTAAAAATTTGAGGGAAAACCACAAAAACAAAAGAGCCGCAAGGAGGGATGGCCAAAAATCTGTATGTCAACTCCCTTCAAATTCGTGGCTGACCTCCTAACTGCACGTGCACAAACAAGACTCCAAATAACCCATGTGAAAATTAGTGGCTGTAAGGATGAAATTGAGCAAAGATTTCAGCTGCTGCCCACTGCAAGAAGACAGTGTGGAGCTTAAATTATGCCAAGTTAGAAGTGCTTGGTTAACACCCGGGACATTCTATTAAAGTCCCAGAAGGGTCTCACCTTAGGAGAAATTCTTATATCATGTAACTAAGAGGTATACCCTAGGATTAGGAGCAAAGCCAGAAGTAGAATTACCCTAACAATGAATAAAACTAAGCATACACAAGTTCAAGATCATCCACCAGAAGATCCAAATGGCTGAAAAAACAGTTGACACTCTCCAAAGGAATATAACACAATTCAGAGTCTTTATAACACATCATTCATGCCCCGTATACAATAAAAACTAATAGACATGCAAAAAACAACAACAACAATAACAAACAACAAACAAAAAAAACCAGGAAAATGTGATCCATATTCAAATAGAAAAGTAAGTCAATAGAAACAGAGCCATAGACAACCCAGATATTGGAATTCGCAGCCAGGGACTTAAAAATAACTGTGAAAAATATGTTTCAGAATCTCTCAGATAGCTCCCACCATAGAATGTAGAAGGAGAGTAAAATCCAAAGCAAGAAGACTGAAGTAATTAACAAAGATAACAAGAGAAATAAAATTGAAACAGAAAACAATAGAGAAAATCAATAAAATAAACAACTCGTTCTTCGAAAAGACCAATAATATTGACAAACGAGGTTTGTGAGTTCAAGGCCTGCGACGGACTCTGTGCTGACAGCTCGGAGCCTGGAGCCTGCTTCGGATTCTGTGTCTCCCTCTCTCTCTCTTCCCCTTGCCTGTTCACACTCTGTCTGTCTCTCTCTAAAATAAATAAACATTAAAAAAAAATTTTTTTTAAGATTTTATTTCTAAGTAATCTCTACACCAAATGTGGGGCTCCCGCTTATAACCTTGAGATGAAGAGTTGCATGTTCTCACCAACTGAGCCAGCCAGGCACCCCTCCAGGCTCAGATGGTTTCATTGGAGAATTCTATCAAATCTTTAAATAGGAGTTAACACCAATTTTATATGATCTGTTCCAGAAAATAGAAGAGGAGAGAATACGTTTCAATTCATTTTATGAGGCTAGAATTATTCTGATATCAAAACTAAAGACGACACAAAAATTAAAAAACTATAGACCAATTCCCTCATGACTACAGATGCAAAATCTTTAACAAAATGTTCGCAAATAAAATACACCAATATATTTACAAATTCTATGTCATGACCAAGTGGGATTTATTCCAAGGATGCAAGGGTGGTTCAATATTCAAAAATCAGTCAATGTAGGGGTGCTTGGGGGGCTCAGTTGGTTAGCCATCCAACTTCAGCTCAGGCCATGATCTTATGGTTTGTGGGTTTGAGCCCCCACGTTGGGCTCTCTGCTGTCAGAGCAGAGCCTGCTTCGGATCCTTTGTCCTGCTTTCTCTCTGCCCCTCCCCTGCTCTCTCTCTCTCTCTCTCTCTCTCTCTCTCTCTCTCTGCAACAGAGGCCAAATTTCTTCCTCTTCAGGGAGCCCTCAGTTCTGCCTTTCAAATGATTGAAGCAGGCCCATCCAGATTACCTAGGATAATCTCCTTTACTTAAAACCAACTAATAATGGACTTGAATCATATCTACAAATTATTCTCACAGGGGCACCTGGCTGGCTCAGTCGGTAGAGCATGAGACTCTTGATCTTAGGGCTGGACGTTCGAGCCCCACATTAGATGTAGAGATTACATAGAAATAAAATCTAAAAAAAAATTTTTTTTTTCACAGCAACAGCTAGATTAGTGTTTCAATAACAGAGGACTATAGCCTGGCCAAGTTGACACAAAACTGTCTATCACACCTCTTAAGACCAGAAACAAGGCAAATATGTCTACCTCCACGACTCTCTCTTTTTTTTTTTTAATTTTTATTTATTTATGAGAGACAGAGCACAAGCAGGGGAGGGACAGAGAGAAAGGGAGACACAGAATCCAAAGCAGGCTCCAGGCTCTGAGCTGTTAGCACAGAGTGCTGTGCGGGGCTCGAACTCACAAACTGTGAGATCATGACCTGAGCCGAAGTTGGGTGCCTAACCGACTGAGCCACCCAGGCACCCCAATCACCTCCACCACTCTTGTTCAACATAGTATTGCAAGTTCTGACCAGTGCAATAAGGTAAGAAATGAGAATGAAAGACATATGGATAGGAAAGAAAATATAAAACTGTCTCTATTTGCAGATGGCTGTTCACATGGAAAAATGTTTAAATCTACCCCCAAACAAAACCTGCTAGAATTGAGTTCAACAAGGTATTGGGATATAAATATACAAAGATCAATTGTATTTACATATGATAGCAGTGAACACGTGGAGGAGAAATTTAAAATACAATAAGAGGGTGCCTGGGTGGCTCAGTTGGTTAGGCATCAGACTTCATCTCAGGTCATGGTCCCGCAGTTTGTGGGTTCAAGCCCTGCATCAGGCTCCCCACTGATGGTGGGGAGCCTCCTTGGGATTCTCTCTCTCTCTCTGCTCCACCCCCACTTGCATGTGTGCTCTCTCTCTCTCTCTCTCTCTCACTCAAAATAAATAATAAACTTTAAAAATAAAATACCATTCACAATCACTTAGAAATTATATATTTATAACATATAACTAACAAAACTACTACCAAAACCCATCCAGTACATGTTTGCTGAAAATTACAATGTGCTTGAATTATACTGCAAACTTCCTGGTTTTGTTATTGTTCTATAGCTATGTAAGACACTATGATTGAGATAAATTGGATACAGGGAACATGGGACTTTTCTATACTATTTTTGAAGCTCCTTGTGAATTTATGATTATTTCAAAATTAAAAAAAGATTTTAAAATCTTTTTTAAAAAACTCACAGCTGTAATTGAGGCTTAGCTGGGCAATTCTTCTGTTCCATGTGGAGTTTCCTCAGGCCCTCAGTGGCATTTAGCAGGTGATCAGGCAGGTCTGGAAGGTTCAAAATGCCTGGTGCTTTGGTGTGGACAGCTGGAAGGCTGGGCTCGGCTGGGCATCTCTCTCCGTGTAGTCTCCCCAGCAGGATGGTCAGACTTCCTGCACGGTGGCTCAGGGATCCCAGGGTTGATTGGTTTTAGTATTTCAGAGCTGAGGCACTCTGAATGAAGCCAACGCCCCAGGTATGGCCTTGAGAATATGGCTGAAGTGGAGTTGAGGAGATGATCACTAGAAATGAGGTGGTTAAGGCAATGGGATCTGGGATGTTGAAAGGGTCATCCAAGAAGATGGTGAGGCGCCCCAGATGGCAGGACCCTGAGAGGAGGGGAAGATATGACCCAGGTGCCCAAATCATTAGTGAGTGAGGGAAAGGACCCAGAGAAAAGAGGAGGGGGTGATAGAACCAGTTGGCACCTGAGGGAGTAGCGTCTTCTACAAGCACATTTCTGGAGAAGCACTCAAAGAAATAATGTGGATGCTGATCCCACATTCTGACCCTGAGGGATGTGACGCCTCCATCTGTGACAGCTGCAGGACAGCAGGTTGTCAGGGAGCATCATGTGGAGGTCCAGGCTTGGAGGTGGACAATGTGCCCTGAGAAATTGAGAACAGTCAGATAATTTGCTAATCATTGAACCAGTGTTCCAGAAGACGCAGTGGTTGGGATGGGAGATTGGCTGAGAACTTGATGTGGGGTTGGGGGAGGGGAAACGGAGAACCAAGGAGGTAAGTATTTCGGAAAATGACTGAGGAAACAAAGTGGGTTTGGTCAGGTGTAAGAGAATTTAGTCATTTACTCCAAATTGAGTCCTGAGAACCTGCCCCTGAGGGAGAAGGGCATGGTTAGGGAAGGTCCTGAGGAAAACTTCACTCCATGGATCCAACTTGGGGGTGATTCAGTGATCAGTCACTTTCTCCAAAAATCTGTGGACACCTGCAGCTTGATAACAGAGGATGAATCAGACTCAGTCTCTGATCAAATATATAATATCTCTATGATTAAAACAAAATTTTATTGAAAAAAGGAAAAGAAATCTTGAGTTCCTTCAGATGAAAAGGCACTCTTTGGGAGAGATGAGGTTGATGTGGGGGCTGGGGTGTCATTGCTCCCTCTGGTCCAGGACCTGGGATTCTTGGGCTCCTATTTTCAGGTTTGTTCGTGCAGAGTAAATTACTATGGTAGGTGGGAAGACAAAAACAGAGTTTCTTTTTTTTTCCCCTCATCTTTGAGATGATCTTAAACTTTTCTTCTTTAATCTAATAATGTGGTAAATTAAATTAGTAGAGTTTCTATTTAAAAAAATTTTTTGAGAGCAAGAAAGAGCATGAGGGGGGAGGGGCAGAAACAGAGGGAGACACAGAATCAGAAACAGGTTCGTGGCTCCAAGTTGCCAGCACACAGCCCAATGCCAGGCTCGAACCCACAGACCAGGAGGTCACGACCTGAGCCGAAGTCGGATACCCAAATGACTGAGCCACCCAGGTGCCCTGAGATTTTCTTTTCTTTTCTTTTTTTTAAATTACACTTATTTATTTTTGAGAGACAGAGTGAGACAGAGCACGACCGGGAGGGGCAGAGAGAGAGGGAGACACAGAATCTGAAGCAGGCTCCAGGTTCTGAGCTGTCAGCACAGAGCCCGACACGAGGCTCGAACCCACGAACTGTGAGATCATGACCTGAGCCGAAGTTGGACACTTAACTGACTGAGCCACCCAGGCGCCCCATAAATTTTCTATTTTTTAAAAAAAAGTTTATATATTTTGAGAGAGAGAGTGTGTGTGAGTGAGCAAGGGGGGGAGGGGCAGAGAGAGAGGAAGAGAGAGACCCCCGAGTGGGCTCCATGCTGACTTCGTGGACAGCATCTACTACATTAGTCACCCTGTTTCCACTTTTTTTTTTAATTTTATTTTTTTTATATATATTTATTTTTAGAGAGAAACAGAGCACAAGCAGGGGAGAGGCAGAGAGAGAGAGGGAGACACAGAATCCAAAGCAGGCTCCAGGCTCCGAGCTGTCAGCACACATCCCAATGCAGGACTCAAACTCACAAACTGTGAGATCATGACCCGAGCTGAAATCAAGAGTTGGATGCTTAGCTGACTGAGCCACCCAGGCACCTCCAGATTTTCTAACTTTAAATAATCCTTATTTTCCTGCTATGAAACCAACTTGGTCATGATGTATCATTCAATAGTTCACTATATTCAATCTGCTAATACTTTAAACAGGATTTTTCCATCTGTGTTCATAAGACAGATCGGCTGCTAATATTCCTTTCTCATACTGCCCATCACTGGTTTGAAACTCAAAGTTATTATTAACCCCACAAAATGAGTTTCAGTGTTCTTTGTTTTTCTATCCTCTAAAAGCTTGTAGGAGATTCAAATGAGATATTCCATTAAATGTTTGATAGAGCTTGCCTTATTGATCTGTAAGACCTCTTTGTGTGTTTTCCATATTAGTTCTTTGTCTGTTAATATATATTATAAATATTTTTCTGTCTTTCAACTTTCTCCATACGTTTTTATTGTAAAGACATGTTAAAGTGTTATGAAGTCAAACTTGGGCATCTTTCCATGGTTTTGTGTATTGCTCAGAAAAGTTTTCCCCACCACAAAATTATTTTTATGTAAAAAAAAATTTTTTATCACAAAATTATTTTTAAAAGAAACACTTTCCAGGGGCACCTGGGTGGCTCAGTCTGTTAAGCATCTGGCTCTTGGTTTCAGCTCAGGTCATGATCTCGTAGTTTGTGGGTTCAAGCCCCGCATCAGGCTCCGTGCTGACAGTGAGGAGCCTGCTTGGGATTCTCTCTCTCTCTCTCTCTCTCTCTCTCTCTCCTTCCCTCTCTCTCTGCCCCTTCCTTGCTTTCTTGCTCTCTCTCTCTCTCAAAATAAATAAACTAAAAAATTTTTTTGTAGGGACACCTGGGTGGCTCAGTCCGTTAAGCGCCTGACTCTTGATTTTGGCTCAGGACATGGTCTCATGGTCGTGAGTTCGAGCCCTGAATCAGGCTTTGTGCTCACAGCATGGACCCTGCTTCTGATCCTCTGTCTCTCTCTTTCTGCCCCTACCCCACTCACGCTCTCTCTTTCCCTCTCTCTCAAAAATAAATAAATGTTAAAAAAGGTTTTTTTTTAATTTTTTTAAAGAAACATTTTCCACTTTCCTTTAGGTTTTAATAGTTTGTTGTTATTATTATATTTAGGTCCTTAATTAATTAGTCCAGGAAAATATTTTTGTATACTAATATAGAAATCTAACTTGAATTTTTCTCTAAATATGTATCCAGTTGCCTCAATATGTATTGACTAGGCTACTCTTTCCACAATGACTTTAAATTTAATCTTTATCATAAACTAAATATAAAGACCTTTCCCATAAATTAAACAGATGTGATAAATGTGTGTGTGTGTGTGTGTCTTTTGTCTTTCTCTTTTCATAAAAATCTATTCTTGGGCTAATAGAACAGTATTTGAACAACTCCCTTACAGTATGTTTTGATCTGTGGTGGGGAAAGACCTTTCTCATTTGCTTTTTCAAATTTTCTTGGCTATTTTCATGTAATTTCTCTAGTAGAATATCTTTAGAATCAGTTTGTCAACTTTCATGAAACCTACATTCCGATTTTTCCTGAGATTGCATGGAATTCATAAATCAATTTTTAAGATTTATTTTATTTTATTTTTAGAAGTTAGTACTTTTTTTAAAAGTTTATTTATTGGGGCGCCTGGGTGGCTCAGTCGGTTAAGCGGCCGACTTTGGCTCAGGTCACGATCTCGCGGTCCGTGAGCTCGAGCCCCGCGTCGGGCTCTGTGCTGACAGTTCAGAGCCTGGAACCTGTTTCAGATTCTGTGTCTCCCTCTCTCTGACCCTCCCCTGTTCATGCTCTGTCTCTCTCTGTCTCAAAAATAAATAAACGTTAAAAAAAAATTTTTAACGTTTATTTATTTATTTATCTTGAGAAAGAGAGAGAGAGAGAACCAGTAGGGGCGAGGCAGAGAGAGAGGTAGTCAGAGGATCTGAAGCAGGCTCTGTGCTGACAACAGAAAGCCCAATGTGGGGCTCGAACTCACAAACTGTGAGATCATGACCTGAGCCAAAGTCGGACACTTAACTGACTGAGCCACCCAGGTGCCCCTAAGATTTTATTTTTAAAATAAAAATTTTTAAATCTCTACACCCAACATGGGGCTTGAACTCACAACCCCAAGATCAAGAGTCATGTGCTCCACTGACTGAGTCAGCCAGGTACCCCTAAATTAATTTGACATCTCTGCAACAATGAGTCTTCCTATCCAGGAATGTGGATATACAACTCTCCACTTATTCAGAGTTTCCCTGCTCCTTAAGATTTGTATGTGACTGGCCTGAACCTCTAGTCCATGTCTTGTGGGACAATTTCTCTTGCTCAGCGCCTGCTTTGAGCTTTAGTTTCCACTGAATTGGTTCAGGTTATAAGCCCAAGTATGGTAGGTTGCATTTTCCAAAGATGGCCACACCCATATAGGTTCCACACCCCCCACACACATACGCTCCATGCTGTTCTTAAAATGTTACATTGACATTCGTTCATCAGGAGGTGGAGTCTCTGTTCCCTCCCCTGAAACTGGGAACACCTTTGAAATTGCCTGGACCAAGAGACTGCAGTGACATTGATGCTGTATGACTTCTGAGGCTAGATCCTGAGAGGCAATTCTGCTTCGGTCTGGTGTTTTCCCTCTCTCTTTGAGCTGCTATGTTTGAAGTTCGGCTACCTTGAAGCTGCTGTGCTGGAGAGACCCTGTGGAAAGCCCACAGATAAAGGAGAGAGCTTCCCGAGAAATTCCAGCTGTTCCCGCCCCAGCTCTCGGAGGCTTCCTAGTACAGACACCAGATGCATTGGGTAAAGAAGCGTTCTAGACGAGCCGAGCCCAGGCACATCTGACTGTAACCTCATGACAGACCCGGAGACAGAGCCAACCAACAGAGCCACTCCTGATCCAAGAAATTGTTGCTTTAAACCATCACATTTTTAGGTGACTTGCTATACAGCAAAAGACAACTAATACACTAGTATGTGCTATCCAGATGTGAAGCGCATCCCCTTTCTGTAATTTCCACCCACAAAAGAAAACTTACACGAGGCCCATGTGTATTTAGCTCACAAAGAGATGAAGAAATGAGCAACGTAAAAACCAACAGCTTTGGGGGTGCCTGGATGGCTCAGTCAGAAGAACATGTGACTCTCGATCTCAGGGTCATGAGTTCGAACCTCACGTTGGGTGTAGAGATTACTTAAATAGCAAAAAACCATGGTGGCTCATCGGTTGAGCATCTGACTCTTGATTTCATCTCAAGTTATGATCTCACAGTTTGTGGGATCTACCATGACAGTGTGGAGCCTTCCTGGGATTCTCTCTCTCCCCCCCCCCTCTCTCTGCCCCTCCCCTTCTTGCGTTCTTTCAAAAATAAATAAACAAATATTAAGAATATCAACAACAGGGGCACCTGGGTGGCTTAGTCGGTTAAGCGTCCGACTTCAGCTCAGGTCATGATCTGGCGGTCTGTGGGTTCGAGCCCCGCGTCCGGCTCTGTACTCTCGGCTCAGAGCCTGGAGCCTGTTTCAGATTCTGTGTCTCCCTCTCTCTCTGCCCCTCCCCTGTTCACACTCTGTCTCTGTCTCAAAAATAAATAAACATTTTAAAAAATTTAAAAAAATATATCCACAACAGGGGCAACTGGGTGGCTCAGTCACTTGAGGGTCCTACTTCAGCTCAGGTCATGATCTTGAGGTTTGTGAGTTCCAAAGAGCCTTGCATGGGGCTTGCATCCTGTGTCCCCCCCCTGCCCCCACCCCACCCCTCCCTCACTCATCTTCTCTTCAAAAAAAAAATTTTTTTTTTTTAATTAAACAACAACAACTTTGGCCATCCTATTTCTGAGATGTCTGTTACAAATATTACCCTCCTACCCTGGGCAAGGCCATCATCCTTCCCTCACTTCCTCCTCCTCTCTTCTTACCTCCTCTAAACTCCAAATTCCTTCCCACTCTGTTAGGCAGATCAATTAAATTCTCTCAAGCCTTCTCTCCCAAACTAAGCTCCAGGAACACGTCTCAAAGCTCAGGGCCCATTGCCCACGTGCCCCATGGGGTTGGACTTTCCTAAGTTCCAGAGAGTTGACTATTTTAG